AAAAACAGATAAAATAGAAAAATTTCGATGAAAAGCTTAAATATTAAAATAATTAATAATTTAATAATTAAAATTAAATATTTAAAAAAAAATAACGAAGTTTTTTTAATTTTTTCTGAACTGTTTTGAGTTATTCCATGGAAAAGAATTCCATTTATGTGTATATTTTTAATTTTTTAAGGAACGAAAACAAAACATATGAAATATAATCAGAAATATATTACTGATAAGTAATGCACAATCAACTCAAGCCCATAACCAACCGCATTATCGTTTTTTTTGTACATAGGCTTTGCTGCACATTCGAACTATGGAACCAAAGAAGACTTTATGTAGAACGGCCACTTGAATGAGCACGACGCAAAATTCAAATACACTCTCTTTATCTTAAGGGGCGTCAAGTTTGTGATATTACAATCTACAATTGTATAATAAAATTATATAGCTGCGGTTTAGGGTACACTTATTCCGTAGGGTACACTTTAGAATTCTAATCTTGCAAGTAATTGTACATTCCAATCGATTGCCCTTGATTTACCCTAGCAAGATTATTTTCTTTTTTTGTAATTCAGCGACCTCAGCTATGTTAAGAAAACATTGTGACAATATTTGATTTTCTCAAATCTGCTAATGTTTACGAGTTTATATAATTTCACTAAACATTAGTAAATCCCAATGTGCAAATAATACGCTTACACCATTTTGACATACTTCTCATTTAACAACCAGCAGAAAGCCCCTAAGTCTAACCTAAATTTAATAAATAAAAATATTTAATAAAGCTGGAGCTTGCATATGATTTGCATAAGAGCATAGTTTAAATAGATTCAACTCTTGTCATATATAGTCCAAAAGTTAAAGACCACAGGTGATAAACCACAGACCACATGAGCATAGTTTAAATAGATTCAACTCCTGTCATATATAGTCCAAAAGTTAAAAACCACAGGTGATAAACCATAGAGTACAGGAGCATAGTTTAAATAGATTCAATTTCTGTCATATATAGTCCAAAGTTATAGTCCACAGGTGATAAATATTTGGCAATGTTCGAAAATATTCGTATGGTCAGTCAAATATTTTCAGAAATAGAGTCAGGATTTTGTGATTAATTTTTTAGTCTGAAACATATCCTTTTTTTTTAAACTCAGTCAATATCAGATGCAATGAAACATTTATTAAAGTCGTTAATTAATGTCCAAAAAGTTCAGAAAAAATATATGCAAAATCATAAAATTCAATCGTCATTAATAGTTTTTAATTTTTCGAACAATTTTTGGAAATAATAATGAATATTTAAAATAAAATTTAAAATAAAAAAAAATACTTAAAAAATTAATAAAAAATAATTATGTTAGTTATTTAATTTTTAAAGACGTATGAAATAAAAAACTGTTGACGAAATTTATATTATATTTATGTAAAAAGAACTATATAATATAAAATACATATAAAAAAATCAAAAAACATGTACAACTTTTCGGAACTTTTTGATATAACAAACATATCAAATCCATATATAATTAATAATTTTGTAGAATAATTTAATTCCCTTCTATAAGCAGTGAGTTCTGAAAGACGTGACAGGTCGTGCTACGCGTAAGGCGTAATCTCAACACTTTACGTTGCTTTCTCACTAAGGTGATTTTAGCTTAACCTGCCATTCAATCCGTAAAATCGTAAGTTGAATGGTCTATCTACAATATAATATTATTAATAACGATAAATCGAACATTCACAAGTATTTTACTAATGCCATTAAAAACAAAGGCAGATATAAACTCCCAGTTGAATGTAGTCCATCGTAATTTAACTGTAAGAATTATTGGGTAACCTTAACGCTGAAACCAAATATCCGTCATGTTCAATATTCGAACATCACTCTGAAAAAAAAAATTGTTAATGAGTGACAATTTGAATACTATAAATTAAAAAATTAAACATTGCTATACATAGACGGCTCTAAACTGGATACTATCACTAAGTTTGCGGTAGTATATTAATTCAGGTCTTTATTTTGGAAGGTTGTCTAACTAATACCACATTTATCATCTATTTTCATGACAGAAGTCTACTCTCTCAAAGAAGAATACGTGGTGTGACCCGATAGCCCGTCGGCCCTGCAAATATTCTGGGCTATCAATATAATGTTATTCTAAGATCAAGAGCTCTGCAAGTCGATCCTTAACAATGGATGTTGCCCCATGCTTACTTATTTTATAAACTTTGAAATTTGGTATATACTTAAAATTAATGTAAATTAAAATATTATTTATGAATTAATATAACAGTTTTTTATTTAATTAATTATATATTTATTATATTCAATACCATTTAAATTTATAATTCCATTTTATTTTTAATAAATATATTACAATAGTTGGTTTCGGCCGCTCTGAAATAAGCCAAAAGCAGCAAATACTCTTGCTAAAGTCTTTTGTTTATATAGGAAATAACAAATTAGTTTGAAAAAAAATAAAATACAAGGAAATCTACTAATAATAATATATAATTACATAATGTCTTTCCGATCTGTTTTCTAATATAATTTATTAACACAAAAAAATTGCGCGGTGTGGACAAAATTAAACGAATTTTGACAAAAGATATAGTCTTAAGATCATAAATCTCTCTATTTACTGCTTTCCATTGTTCACGTTTTTCCAGTGGTTCTTTTACAATGAATGTACGTTTATAATCTCCATCCCATATAGCAAACCTTATTGTCTTCATAAATAGCAAGTGAAATATGAACTGATTTTAACTTCTTTATATTCTTTGATGAATTGACTGTAATAAAAAGAAATATATATGGAGAAGTTACAAGTCTACTTAGTACTTCCAAAGTGACTATATGCTTACCTTTGTCATTTTATGGATCGTCTAACAGTAAACTTGTACTGAAAATGGCTTTGTAAACTGTAAGTTTGTTGTCGAACTCCATTAGCGCCATAGGAATATTGTCTAATATTTTCGGTCCTTACACATGGAACGTTTCCTGTTTTACTCTGAAATTTGAAAAATAAGTTATTATTTGATTTTAAATAAAAATAAAAGATATATCATGATTGGTTTCTTCTCTATTACAGTTAAAAAACGTTTTAGAGGTTTTATATAAAATTATAATCTAATCCATTCTAAAGTGAACAATCTTCTTAAACTGTCATGAATGTGTCTTAAAACCGAATATTTAGAATATATGTAATACATCGATTGCGTTTTATAATAAGATTTGTCTTGGAGAGTTTATTGAAAATAACAAGCCAAAGACCAATCAATACCGTATCTCTACACTACTAATAATTAGCAAAGCTAATTTCTTTAGAGCTGTCAATTAGATTGGACGCAAAAAATTGTGATGTAACTCTATTTGGTCCTTAATTCTACAGAAGGACCAACGAAATAATTGTGAAAATAAATACGAACGATTTGGTCGCAAGATTAGTTCCGGCTTTACTTAAAATAAATAATCCTTAATTTTTTTACAAGCTTTTCCAAGTTACAGAAATGGGGAAACATTAGGATTGAGACTGTGATTAAAAATATTTTTATATAAATATATATAAATTCGAATAATCAAATGGAACATCTAAAAGAAACTCAAGTAAGTTACACCACAATTATAATATTATTATGATACGGATCTAATACGGATTTAAATAGTACCCCATAATATGTTATATTAGACAATATGGGTTAATAAATATATAAATATTAGATAAACATAAATGTATCACAAGTGTATGCAATGACAATGGTGATTATTCCTCCGATTACATTATCATTACAAAAATATGTTTAATAAAGAATGTGGATACATTATTAAATTGTCCATATATATTAATGACATTTTTATTGAAACCACAAATTTATATAAACACAGAAAAACAAATGTAATTATTTAAATACGAGTATATATTTAAAAATTATTCTATTATTCTAATGCATGCGGACTTAAATCATTGTATTTCCGTATTAAAATGAAACACTCATTCATTCGAAAACAATTCTCTTCTAAATAGTGCGCCTGAAAGATTTAATTGACGTAGTGTTTTTGTTCTTAAGAGAATCAATACTAAATATTAGCATCAACATCATACTGAAAATAATATTACAACTGTGTAAGTCATATAAATTATAAAAACAGTTTAAGACCTGTAGACATTGATATATTAACTTATATTAATATACTCGTACTCGTAGGCTATGAATATTTCAAATATTCCGTGATGTATGAAATAATCATTTATAAATCAAGTACTTGCAGTTTGTAAGAATTATAATAAAATTTGAAGATATGTTTTTATTATTTTATAGAATTTTTAATGAAAAAAGAATTTAATGAATTTAAAAAATCACTCATCTATTTCTTTAACTTGATAAGACTCAATCAACTGTTCCAAAATTTTAAAACTTTCCTTTATCTTGAGAGGGACTAAATAGATTGATTTATACAAGATATATTATTATTATAATAGAAATACTCATAAACGTATTACTTTGTGAATTCGCATCTACCTCCAAAGTCATCGCTTATGGATTTAACAAATATTATTTTGTATTTCAAATTTTTGTTTATATTATTAGAGTGTAAGATTGCAACAATAGTAAGATAGTAACTGGTAACATAGTACAAAAGTATTAATCCATTATTTAAAAATTCTCGTTTAGAAAACTTGTTTGATAGATGGTTATACTATTGCTTTGCTCTTTCTGCTGTTTTTAAAATTTGCACTCAACTGATTCCATCTGACAAGAACTACTCACCATATATTGTACTTTGATGCTTTCTTCTAGGTCTTCTAGGTCTTCTTAGTCTTGATACTTGAAACATCAAATTTTTCTGAACTAAGTTTTTATGTTTATAATTGCTCGATATGCGATCTTTCACATAAATTAATGTACGATTTAGAATAATTTACTGCAATTATAAGATTTTAAATGAATACTTTCAAAAATATTTTCTCATATTGAGAAATATACTTACACTTGAACCACGTTTGCGATGTATCTGATACAATATTGCGGGCTCTGCGGGGACCAAAACTCAAGTAAGATATAGATTTTTTACTTCCAAAAGGTAAAAAAAACTGCAGATCCTTCCGTGGCACATTATGCTTAATCACTGCAGAAACACATCATGTTTAAGTTGTCTGCTTAAGTTGCTGGAGAAAACATATTCGTTGCTTCTGGAGAGATTATTTTTTACAGATGTCGTAGGCTAGGCTGATCTAATAAAGAATAATTAAAATAAACGGTTATTTAAAACTTAATGTAGATAAATAGTATTATATGTGTACATTTTTTAATATTTATATTGAATTGAGAAAAAAAGTTATTTAAAAAATTAATTTAATGGATTATCCAGACAAATGTTTATGTACATATAAATACTACGTTTTAGCGCAAAAAGTATAAGCGGCGATGTAATATGAATGAAGAGAAAGAACTGAATTAATACAATTGGATTCCAAAAGGATTTATTCATTAATTAGAATTATATTACTTTATAAAATAAACATAATTATACACCAATACTATCTTTTTAAGAATTATTGTCAAACACCAATGTTCAAATAATTATAATCCCTAAAAATGATCACCGAAGATGGTCAAAATATTGAATTTGTTAATAGATGGAAATACAATTTTTGATTACAACAACCAATGATTACTGTTTTAATAGCCAACACAAAAACATTAAAATTAAATTAAATAAATATATGTACAATATTAAAATCATTCAGCCAATAACAATTATCCGACTATTTATTTACCGTCACGAACTCATAAAACTGAGTGTATGGTAATGTTAAATTTCTGGATAAGCCATCTCTCATTTTACTTCGTACAGTTTTAGGAGAAATTAGCTAGACTATTTATTTATGTATAAATAAAGAGGGGGTGTGATGTTGCAACCATCGGGTCTATTGTGCCTATTCTTGGCTTAGAGTAAGTCTCTAAGTTCTGTTGCGTAAATAAAAAGTAGTATATAACTTACTTTACAGATATTTATTGCATCTTCCATAAGGATATACATTCCTAGGAGTTTATTCCGTTAGTGCATTAGCGCTTGGCATTCTAACAGCATATGTGTAATTGATCATTAATCTCATCACCGCAGAATCTACAGTATGACTCCATATATTTGTAACGACCAAAATTTTATTAATTAAAAATTTGATCGTTACAACGCCGTGGGTATAGCTGCCTACAAAACACAACACGACCACCTAACACACAACAAGTAACACTCACTTGAATTTATTAAATCGAAGGTTCCTGTAATAAAAATTGTTGATTAATATCAAAACATTAACTTAACCAACTCACCGCAGCCCAACAACAAAGCTCCAGTATCCAGAATACCTTGAGCTGATATAGCACCATATTTTGCCAGTACATCTTCATGTTTGTTGCTTATAACTTCTGCTTATAATTGCATAAAGTATGTTACTTTTGGACAAGTTTGATCGGTATGCTGTATTACTATCATTGCCGATGCAATGGATGCACCTTGACGAACAAAATTTACAGGATCGAATTCAACCATTGGTTCCAACAAAGCAATAGCCTCACGCTATACAGCATCACCACACGCTATACCAAATCGCAACAGCCCACAAGTGATACTCATATTTTACTATAGTCCACACACTATTTTTTATTTAAATTAATTAATATATTTATTATAATTATAATTATTTGATTAAATCACAATTTATCTTTAAAAAAAACAATTACATTGTAAAAATAGAATAAAATCAAAACAAAACAACACGAGCTGTCAAACGAAGTAAGCTTTTGTGGAAAAGGTGTGGAACTAGGGCGAAACTTAAAGAAAGAACAACTTCCAGCTTCCACATGTGTAAGAAATAGAATTCGCCCTAAAGCTGGACTTTCGCTGGTGCATTGCAGAGGGATCAGTTAACGAGCTTCGATGAACGGTCGTTGAACTTTAAGGTAGTTACAGCTGGCACCGTTGATCGTTGACGGTATAAAAAGTGCGGGCACCAGGAAGAAGCTCTCTCTTGTTTTGTTTGGTTCGACGACTAAAGGTACGAGGAAAACTTCTGGTTCTGGATTCTGTACACGAAACTAAATAATTGTTAATATATAAATTCTAGTAATTTTCTTGTTATCTGTGAAAAACTAAAATTTTATTTTAAACAAAAGAAACTTAAGCATCGAATTGATTTTTGTTGTTTTATAAGTGGAATTCTACAATTGCTAATATATAAGATTAAATATTTTCTTGTAATTTATGAAAAGTAAAATTTTATTTATAAATAAAATAAATATATAAAAAAACTGGAGTTCGCTAACGAAAATACATAATTGACAAAATATAATCTTTATCAATTTCCTCTGAGTGGTGAAGAATTAGAAGGGTGTACCAAATAGAGATACACAGCTATCCAGCTATAAGCGAACCTATGAAAAGGTTCATAACATATTTGGTTTATAGTAGCTAAACCATTAATAAATTTAAAATATTTAAATTATTATAAAAATATTGTGACTAAAAGTTCATAAATTAATTATAATTCTATATTCATCACAATTTTTAACATTAATGACATGAGATTAGTTGCTCCAGCTTTTTTTTTTGTTGGCTCTGCCAGTTGAAATATAGAAAATTACTAGTATAAAAACTATTCCCTTCAGGATAAAAGTAAGGCAAGATAGCTTATCTCACTTTTTGAGATATCAATTGGAAATCCATTTTCCTTATTATAATTTTAATATACATACTAAGAGAACACACTTACATAGCTTTCATATTGTATTACTTTTAATTTTCTTTTTATTTCCAAACTCTTTTTGGTAGGCTCAGAACCTGGAAGTTCTTTAACCTCACAGCTATGGTAGATGCCTGGTTAGTCTTTTTACATATGCATTTCTAAGTTTACGGATTTATTATCTTACAAAAGGTATTTTCAGGTCCTGATAAATGGAGTAATTTGATACGCACCATGGAGCGTTGACAATATTTTGTTGTAATATTTCTGTATTGAAGGTACTTTCAGTGCCGCAAAGTTTTGAAGCAACTGTCTATACTGGTTTAAGTATAATTTTATACATACAGTTATTACTCGTTGTGTTTGATTGGCTTTTATATAGTTTTTTCAGGCAAGTCTACGGTCCAAATTTATCCCCAGTTACTTCACAGAATCATATTGCGGGATTGCAATATTATCAAGTCTAACTTGTGGACAGTATGTTTAGTAGATATGTGTGCTTTATCCTCTATCAATGATTTTACTTGAGTTTTAAATTTATCTACACAATCAATATCATCATCTTCACTGAGGATCTCATTATAATTTTTTGTGTTGAAGAAATCGGATCCACAGTCCATTATGGCTTTTTTACGTACAACTTCAGGTGGTTTTTGGTTTGCCCGTTTGTGTGTACTGGATTTGGCAACAAAACTCTCTGCCTGGCTGGCATACTAATTTCGTTGTCATCATTTTTTGACATCGCGTTAAGTTTAATTAATGAGCATTGCAAATCGCACAAAAAAAATTATGAAATAAGAAATCTTTCTTTTTTGTTAATATAAAGAAAAAAAAAATAAACAAAAAGAAATTTTGAAAAAATTAATTTGCCCAATTAATTAATTTAATTAATTTAGAAAGAAGCTCTTGCTGTTAAGTTTTTTATGTTCAGTATTTCATAAAGTAATATAATTATTATTTAGAAAAGCCACTATCTCAATTAAGTATTAGTAATAAGAATTAATAAATTTCACAAATTTTATATAGTCTCTATCACAATTTATTGTTGTTCAATTCTTAGTTTAATACTAATAAATGCACTTCACTGTATTCCACATGTAACCTACTTCGCCCCTGTACTCCTATTGAACTGCATAAGTGCCGCACAAATTTTTTAATATAATTTTTTATATGTTGAATATTTTTATTTATTTCTTTAATTCAAAAAGTTTTTCACATCTTTGAATTCTTCCTTTGAAAAGCAATATTAATTAAATTAATATAACTTGTCACCGACAACTCAGCGACCAAAGCACTTTTTAATAGTCACGTCATTCCACTGGACCTACTTGTTCCACTGACGCCTATTTTTTGCGTGAGCCTTCATATTTTTGTCACTTCTTTTGTGGTGAAATTATCATCGTATAAGAGCTCTTCTTATTATTTTTTTCAGCTTTAGTGCCAGTTCCGTTATTCATTATTTTGTTTTCATTGTCTTACATTTGCTAAGCTCTTTTCTCTATTTTGTTCTTGTCGAATAGAAACCTGAAAGAAGTTGAAAATGTGAAGAGTGGAGGGTGTAATCAATTCCAAAAATTATTCTGCAAATATTATTCTTATTTCATCATTTCATTGGATTTATTGTAATCCTGAACGCACCAATCTCAGAAGAAGAAATTATATGAAATAATAAAATCATTAACATAATTAATGTTATAATGTTATGATGTAGGAATCTCTTGCTCAGTTTACTAGTTCGCCGCGTTATTTCTTCATCGCTTCCTGATTTCTTTTCTGATATCTCCAATAATATATGTAAAGCATGATATAAACCAAAGAAAGTAAAGAAAAGAAACAGAGGAAATTTTGAATCATTTTGCCTCTTTGTGTAATATCTCAAACAAATGTCTTAAGGGATTTTTAGCATCAAAAAATCAAAACAAACAACAAAATTTCTCGGAAAGTGCTCTTATTTTAGCAAGCATCGTGGTGAGTAGGGACTGGGTGGGCAAAATAGCAAGACCGGGTGGTGAAATTAATCAGGCGCTATTGTATAGCATTAGGCTTTTTGTTTTTGTACTGTGTGATATTTTCACCTCATTAATCAAAATTTTGAATATTATTTGAATTATCCAGAAAATTTCATATACAATTTCTCGAGCAACTCTCAGTTTCTTTTCGTTATCTTTTGTGATATAAACGATGGTACTCGTCTATATCATGCTGAAATTGTTTATCAAGTACGCTTAAGCTAATTAAAAACATAAGACATTTGTTAAATAAGATATATAAGTTAAACATATATATTCAGTTAAAATATTATTTAACAAAGATTAAATAAATATATAAGATAAATAATAAATAATATATATATAAATAAGATATATAAGTTAAACATATATATTCAGTTAAAATATTATTTAATAAAGATTAATATGGGCAGTTATTAAAAATCTGAAAAAAAATTCTTAGTCAATTAAAATATTTAAACGAAGTAATAATAGTGATTTCTTAACTTCAATCAACTGAATTACAAACAATAGATCTGTTGCACGAGCTGCCCAAAAGATAAGGTCACTAATTTACTAATGGCTTTGAAACAAGAGAAGCCAGTTTTATCTAATACATATATTCTCATTTTAAGCAGGATAAAATTATATCTCATTTAATGATATATGTATATAACTTATACATACGAACAGTTTTGTGATCAAGGAACATATGTTATTTAAATGTTCTGATTCAGGGCTGTTCAAAGCAGGGCCCACGGGATACATGTAGCCCACGGTTAAAATTTTGCGACCTGCGACATTATTTTAATCTACTACAATTAGGCTAATCTTCTTTTGATATTCTGGTAAAACTACATTATTTTATTTTTATGGTATACCAAATAAATGAATTTATATTATTAAATTAATAAAACTAAATTCAACAACTTTTATTTTTGTTGAAAACAGCTATGAACGTATGTATTTGTTTCTGCGGGCCTCCAATCTGTTCAGTGATTTATATTGGCCCGCGTTCGCATCTAGTCTGGACAGCCCTGTTCTAATTAATTAAAACTTAATTACTTAATAAAAAATCATGAAATTAAAAAACATATAATAGTATCAAATATATATGATTTTTTAAATATACTTAGTGTTTATACAATATAAAAGACATTTTCTTTAAAGAATGGATAATAAGACCTTGTTTAAAGAGGTCGCATTGCTAAATTCTGAAAGTTTTTTATTGCTTACTAAGTAAGTGCAACTTACTAATTAAATTTTATTAACCATATAAAGAGCTTCTATGCTTTTTAAGTTATACTATGTTTAGACGGCCAAATTTCCTTAACTTCATTAAAATAAAATTAAGTTAGTTGGAAACTGTTCATACTGCGCTAAATTAAGGAAACCATATGTTTTTTGTTGACATTTGTATTTGTATATGTACCGCAAAACATTACTAAAAACCTGGATACTTAACAAAACAGTGGAAATTTTAAAATTAAATATACTTTTATAGAATTCTTGTAAAAAATTAATTTCTCAAAATATTTGCTATTGTCAAACTAGTGCAAAAATAATGAGTGTCTTAAGCAATGAAATACACTTAATGAATTAAGACTTTGTCTCCTTAAACGTACTGATGGAGAAGTGCTATGAACCTATACTACTTGAAACAACATTATCTGTTCCAAGACTGTTTTGGAAATTTGTAAATATATCCAGGTACACTGATATGATGATATTTAATAATATTTTTATAGAACCGGCAATCAGCATTTTGGAACATAGTGGTCACTCGGTAGATATTTTTAGAACACATTTTTGTGGCCTCAAAAATAATTCTTGTATTTAATTATTCATAAATAATTTTTTTGAGACTGTAAGTACCAGAAATCGAACTCATGCGCTGCCAAATTTGAAGCTCAGAGTCAGCGCTCCTTAACCAAGTGACCTTAAGCCGTAATTGACTTTTATGTTCGTACATTTTTCTGGAGTTTTGTTGATTCGCTGTTAAAGTTTTTATTAACAAATTCACTTGCTATAACCACCAACTATTCAAAAAAATGAATTCAGCATTTTTGTGTGTTGGCAACGCCGGTATTTGCATGACCAAGAATACCAATTTCAAGAAAAGGAATATTGAAAATTGTTGTTGCTTTGTAGCTGCACATGCAATCACAGTGTCCAGAGGACTGTGAAGCGAAGTGCAGGTTGCGTTTTTGCGTGGAAAGTGGTGTTGGAGTAGTCAAGGTAATTTATGGAAGTAATGCGACTATATTCTTCTTATGGTTACGCTTCTAAATAATATAATGTTTGTGCATTTTAAACTTTTAAACAATATTGGATAAAATTAAGTTTTTGTGGAACGACGCGCAAAGTACAATGACAGGAACGTTTAATAAATAGAACAAAAATTTTTCAATATGGCTGATCAGTGTGGCGTCACATCAAAAAATTGTTGTTGTGAAATGTGTTAAAAAATTTATATATATCTAAATTTGGAAGTGTGAGAATTGTTTCTGTAAATCCATCATGATCTCTAAATTGTCCGGTATTTGATATATATATGCCTATTCAATTATAATATTAACGTGCTAAGCCTATTGAATATATTTCGTGTGAACTATTGATGGCGCCATATAAGAAAAGTGAGCCTTGACCTGCGCAATAATTATGTCAAGACCAGATATGACGTCATGTACCAAATTTTTCGATTTTATAGAGCGCTCCTTCGGTGTTGCGCAATCGAAATGCATTTTTTTTAAATTTCAAATTTATATATAATTTTTTAAAGAATTAGTTCCTTTAGTAGAAAAGCATAACATTCATGTGCTCTCATGTTGTCGTGCTAGACTTGTTGAGGTGAGCTAATTGTTCTTATTTCGTTGAGCGATCTTATTTCGTTCGTTATAAAGCTATAATCATAACACTATATATAATAAACTATAAATTTGAGCATATATGAAACTTACTAATATACATATTACAAAACATATATTACGTGATGTGTTAGAATATACATAGTATATCAGATATTAATAAGATGTCTTATTAGACATATAAGCGTCTTATTAGATTTCGCAATTATATTTGAGCAATTTATAACTTAATATAATATTTCCTTCTACAATAGTGTTGCAAAATATATTATAGACTAAATGGACTAAGGGAAAGGATTCGACATGACACACATTGTTGTGCAATATTATAAATTCTTCAGAATATTGCTCAATATAAAGTATGGGAAGATGAAATTCTGTAGGCTGTCGTTACTTGGCTTAAGAGGTAGCATATATAAACTTGTGTATCATTGAAAGCAGTGACGGAGCTAGATCAACTTTGGACGTCGGTGACATCGAATTTTGAGGCCCCATTCATCACCTAAAATGTAAAAGTAAATAATTTACATTCGCTAATAGACGATTCAGGTATGAAAATTTTATTACTATTCAAATTAACCCATTATAACAAATGATAGTTTTTATTTGTCGATATGTGTTTTGTTTACAATTTTAGTATAATTTTAAAGAAATACATAGTTTTAATTAATATGCATCGTCGAGGACCACCTAATACTTTTACGGAACATTGAACATTATTTTTAATGGTATTAAAATTTCAATGCAGTTGAGTCAAATAATGGTTCAACTATCACCGAATTTGGAATTGTTGGTACAGATGTCAATAAAGCGTTGACAATATTTACTTGAAACTGTAGTGATAATGGTTTCTGCTCTTCATAAGCTGAAACCATAACAATCAGTTTCCAAACATT